GGCATCTAAGAATAAGCAGACTTAGATCTAAAATATGATCCACTGGGAAGCATACAGATAGAATAATCATATCAAATGTAATTGATATATGGAGACTGCAAGGTTTATGATTGTAATTTAAAGAGTTTCCATAGAATCTCTCCAAAATACAGGAACAGAACTCCCATATAACCCATTGATAATACTTCTTGGCATCTTTCCCTAAACACAAAAATATTAATTTGTGAGGATATCTGCACACTATTCATCACTACACTAAGTACAATAGCCAAGAAACAACTCAAATTCCCAAATAAGAATGAATGAATGAATGGATGAAGAAACCATGGTTACTCTTGGCTGTGCACTCAGGAATTACTCCTAGTGTTGCCCTGGGAACCGTATGGGATGCCGAGGCCTGAACCTGGGTCGGCTACGTACAAGGCAAACACCCTACCCACTGTACTATTATTGCTCCAGCCTTGAAATTGTGGTGTATATACATAAAAGAATACAATGTAGATCTAAGAAATAATAAAATCATGCAATGTACAGCAACATGGATGGGACTAGAGGATATAATGCTGAGTGTTGTTAGAAAAAAAGGGATAAATCAGAATGATCTCATATGTGGGACCTAAAGATACACAAGATAGCAACAAAGTGCCAATGGTAATTCAACAATCCACACAACTGAATTGGTGGGGGTTGAAAGAGAGAGAGAAATTGAGGTCTCTGGGGAAGGAAAGTGGGTACACTGGTGATGGGTGTGGTGTTGAAATTATGTGCATAGGAAACCACCACCAACAGTATTGCAAATAACAGAACCTCAATTAAATTTTTAAAAAATTTTCCTGATGGGCTAAATAATATCACAACACACTGACCTTAGAGGTAGTGGATTTATCTTTTGTGTAACCATTATGGCAACATGGTATAGGTTCACATCTTTATACCATTTGGCATTATTTTGGTGAAACAAAAGTTTTTAAATAAGATAAAGAGCTGAAGAGAGAATACAGATGTGAGGCACTTGCCTTTCCATGGCAAACCTAGATTCAATTCCCAGCACAGCATATGGTACCCAAGCACTACTAAACATATTCCCTGAGAACAGAGCCAGAAGTAATCCCTGAGCCCAGACAGGGGTGGCCCATCAAAAACAACAAAATAGTAAGATAGCATACGTGTATAATGCTCAACAAAAATTATTGGATATAGGGACTGCATAAAATTAAGGATCTTTGGGTGAGAAAACAAGCGATCTTTCTTTGCTTAAGATTCCTGATATTGGTGAATATTTAGTCTTAGCCACTAGCTTTCTCATAAAGGTAGTTGTGAGGAGACAGCCATTAGCAACTCTGAGTTCCTATTAATACTTTTATGTATATCTGATAAGGGAATGACATATCCCTAAATAAGTCTTTATAAAACATAGAGGTTATTTAATCCTCACAATTATGCAACCAAAAAAAAAAGAGTTTTAGCATGACCGAGTAGAAACATATCTACCAAAATAGTCAGGCAGTAACTATCAGTTATGAGATTCTTGCCCAGGTTTGTCTGGCTCCAAGCGTTGCTCATTTTTCTATAGTACACTGTATTCTGCAGGGAATTGTACTTAATAACAAGATTAAGTAACGGTAGCTGTCCTTTCTTGTTTAGGGATCAACGTTAATTCATGTAAGTCTAAACTTTACAATCTTATGTACTTTAACCACTTTCAACTGAAAGGGTGGCAGCCATTTCCAGGGCTACGGTACAGCATTTATCCCCTAAGCGTGCCCCAGTAAGCACTGAGCTGGGAGCACCGAGCACACCAAGACTCCCCCTCCCTCCTGCTCTCCATAAAGCAGTTTCCAATAGACTGAACATATCTGAGAGCAACTTAACCTTTTAATTCTCTATCCAGCAGAAATTTTCATTTATTTTGTACTGAAACATACAGAACAATGCATTTTGAATCAGGGTATTACTACTACTACTACTTTTGTTTTATGGTGTGGTATCCAGAGGCTATTCCTGACTCTGCTTGAGAGACTCTTCTGGCATTGCTCAGGGGATTGTGCAGTGCTGGAACCTGAATCTAGATATATAGCACACAAAGCATGCACTCCAGCCCTTTGTCTCTCCAACCCTGTGGGTTACTACTTACTTCTTGTGGATCTATGAGTAATTGGCCACTAGGTGATGGGGTGAGATACTTCTTATTCTCCCGATACAGGAAAAAGGTCATAGGTAAGTGGGAAAAAGGTGAATTGTGAACATCTACTGTGTCATGTGGATTCACTATCATTGCTCAATTAACTTTTGCTATCTGCTGTGAATTAAGCTAGGATTCAAAAGTAGGAGGTTATGTGTTGCAGGCTGCAGCTGAACCAAGAGAGCTTTCCAATCCCACCAAATGTCTACTTTAAATAATGACAAAAAGCTTGTAAGACATTAAAATCCGAGCCCCAGATTAGGTGACATTAGATGTCGCTCATAATATGTTATGTTTTGCTTATTGTATTTAGGTAGTAGTCCTGAGTTAACATACTTATCTTAATGGAAATATTTAAAATATAGTAATTTTATTTTTTATTTGGGAGTCACATCCAGTGGTGCTGAGGAACACTCCTGGTGGGCCTGGGGAGGCCAGATGGGGTACCGGTGATCGAATCCAGAACAGCTATGTACAAGGAAAATGCCCTACCTGGTGTACTATTGCTCTGGGCCACATTGATTTTATTTAATAGTAAACACTGTAAAATAATAATTCATCTTTTTGTTTAATATTTCACAATTTTAAATGTTCACTTGGTACATGTAAGTTTTGTGTTTGCTTAAGACAAAATCGCCATTTCTGTTTACACTATTGTAATAATGGTGTTTGCCTAAACTTCCTGACGCCAAGTTTATTTATTGTACAGGACTCAAAAACTGGGTAACTCAGTGAGATTATCCTACACATTAACAGATTTCCTTTGGCAGACTAAAAAAAAAAAGGCAGTACAGACAGGGGGGAAGTATGTAAAAAATAAATAAATAAATAAAAGATACCAAGTATACCATTGATAAGAATGGATCTGACAGCAAATGACAGATGTTTTTCTTTTTTGGCTTTGGGGGCCAGCACTGTGGTACTACTGACTCTGTGATCAGGGGTTATTCCTGGTGGTGCTCAGGAACCACATGGCACTTATGATCAAACCTGGGCCTCCTGCATGAGCTCAGCCTGAGGAGCTCTCTCTCTCTTTCTCTCTCTCTCTCTCTCATCTAGATTATGTTTTTGTCTTAGTTGTGTGTGGTGGTGGGAGGGTAGAAGGAAAAAGGGTGAGAGCAATGATTGCAAGAGGTTCTGCTAAAAAAATTAATAATTATGAGTGAAGATTAGGGTGAGAATAAAAGTACAATAACAGTCTAGAAAAATATTAATCTTAAGTTAGCATCTATCGAGCTTTTAATTTGATTTTATAATTGAGAAGCAGTAATTAAATAGCATAACAAATTAACAGTTAATAAATGGCAGGCCTTGAATTTTAATCGTTATCTAAACCACAATTGAAAAATGATCTATACAAAGAACAAGAAACTGAAAATTTAAAAAGATACATGGACATCTATGATTCTTATGTTATTTAAAATAGCCAAGATCTGGAACCACCCTAATAACCAACAACAGGTAAGTGGAAAGAAAATCTGATATGTATACACAATGGATTACTACTCAGTTATTACTATCCATCCACATGTAGCAAGAAACTGAAATGCTTCTTGTTACATGTGAATGGGATTGGAGGGGTTGTGTTATGTTAAATATAAAAAGTTAGAAAGTCAGGAGAAAGACACAATATTTGGTGTTTTTTTTTTTTCCCCTTTTGGGTCACACCAGGCGATGCTCAGGGATTACTCCTGGCAGTGCTCAGGAGACCATCTGGGAGGCTGGGAATTGAACCCAGGTCGGCTGCGCCGCAAGGCAAATGCCCTACCCGCTGTTACTATCACTCCAGCCCTAAGACACAATACTTGGATCATCACACTCATAGGTAGTATACAAAGGAACAAATCGAAGGAATCACCCCTGTCCAATGAAAAGGAAGCCTTAGATTCTAACCACAGAACTGAGATTACTAATCAATAAACAGAGGCGGAAATGTATTGGCACTTGGCGATGTGCTGAGCACATTCTAGGAACTTGTATCCCTAAAACAAAGCACTTCAAACCTCAATTAAAGATAAAAGAAATGCCAAGGGGCAAAGCACTATTTAAAAATTTTCATTACCAGGGGTTGAAGCTATAGTACAGTGGTTACTTGCCTTGTACAGGGCTGACCCAAGTTCAACCCCTGGCACCTCAGATGATCCTCCAGGCACTGCCAGGAGCCCTGAGTGTAGAGCCAGGAATCACCTCTGAGCACCCCCAGGCGTGATCCCCAAAGAAATGAAAATAACATTAACCGTAACAGATGCAAATTTCGACAGATATACTTTTCTTTCATTTTTATTTTGGGGTCACACCTGGCGGTGCTTGCGGGTGGCTGCCTCGTGTTGAGGGGCTCTGGTGGGTCTGTATTTAGATGTGGGAAGGCGCCAGACCCCCGAGCCATAGTGAAGCTTTGAAAAGAAACCATGAAAGAGAAATATGCTTATATGACAGAATTAAAAACTGCCTAAAAAAATTAACCAGATTAAATATAACACCCGAATATTTAGTGTCAATTACTAGTGCCTGGGCTGAGCAGAGCTGGGCGAGCAGAGCTGGGCAACCAAGTTGGAAAGAAAGGCAGGAAGTTTCCCTTCTGAAGAAGCTGGTCCCAACTTTCAAATCGGCCCTGCCCGCCCATCCAGCGTCACAAAGCCCGCCCCCTCGTCCCCGACGCCACGCCCCCTCCCGTGGCCGGGCTCCCAGCTCCCAATAGCTCCCTCCTTCTCGCTGACTTTTCCTCCTCCGCCTAGCGTCATTTCCTGTGCGCTGGATGCTCATTGGCCCGCCGGCCGGAAGTGAGGGCGGGTAGTGGGGGGCCGTTGCCGCAGTGACAGTGCTGGGGGAGTGCGAAGATGGCGGCGTCGCGTCGCTCTCAGCATCATCACCACCATCATCAACAACAACTCCAGCCCGCCCCAGGGGCTCCGGCGCCGCCGCCGCCACCTCCCCCCCCACTCAGCCCCGGCCTGGCCCCGGGGACCACTCCAGCTTCCCCGACGGTGGGTGGCTTGGCCCCCTTCGCCTCCCCTCGGCACGGCCTAGCGCTGCCGGAGGGGGATGGTAGTCGGGACCCACCGGACAGGCCCCGATCCCCGGACCCGGCTGACAGTGCCAGCTGTTGCAGTGCCACTAGCCCCGTCTGTCCGGTGGCGCCCGTGCTCCCGACGGTCGCAGCTTCATCCACCGTCGGGGTCGCTCCCAGCCCGGCCGGCGGGGGCAATAACAATTCCCCGTCGTCCTCTTCTTCCCCGACGTCTTCCTCCTCTTCCTCTCCATCCTCGCCCGGATCGAGCTTGGCGGAGAGTCCCGAGGCGGCGGCCGGAGCTAGCAGCGCCGCGACTCTGGGGCCTGGGGCCGCGGGCGCCGGGCCGGGGGTCCCCGCCGTGAGCGGGGCCCTGCGGGAACTGCTGGAAGCCTGCCGCAATGGGGACGTGTCGCGGGTCAAGAGGCTGGTGGACGCCGCCAACGTGAACGCTAAGGACATGGCCGGCCGGAAGTCTTCTCCCCTGCACTTCGCTGCAGGTCAGAGACTTTTTGACTTGTTTCTTCGGGCTTTGGGGGGGGGGGGATGCGGGGGACGGGGAGACGGGCAGGGGGCGCCCAGGCTGGAAGAGCAAACGAGTTTGGTGATGGAGTCACGCTGCGGGCGTGGCTGGAGCCCCTCCCTCACCCGAAGACTTCGTGGGTGAAGGGGGCGTGGTTGGAGCGAGGGGACTTTTCTCCTTTCGCGTTTGCACCGTGCTCCACTTGTGGTGCTCCCGGACAGGACACCCCCGTGTGCTTGTGGCCTCTGACTATGGGTACCCTAACTTTTCCGGTTCGCAGCCTGACTTGGGCGACTTTGGAGAAGTTTTGTGATTTGTTGCCTTTTCCTTTTTGACAGAGTTGAGTATGCCCCTTTCGGAGAGCCTTCGGACCAAAGGAAGTTGACTGTAACTCAAGAAGTGTTTTGCGTCCTAGGGCTATGTTTTGCCCTGGGAAAAAGCCAATGAAAGATAGACATTTTTCACTTGAGTTGACACACTTTCGAAAGTTTACGGTTTGATTGGGGAGACCAAAATAGCCTGTTGGAAACAACTGGCGGGGAGAGTATTTGGGTGCGCAGTGAAAACAAGAGATTGTTGATCCGTTGTCTAGCTAGTTCAGTCGAGATTGCTGTAACTTTGTAACTTTTCTCCTGGGCCACAGCGATGTATTAAGGTGTTGTGAGCATTGAGAAGCCTGTGGAGTACAGGTGCGTCGGGATCTAAGCGAGAGTACAGCGGGTAGGGCACTTGCCTTGCAGGCCGACTGACCAGATTCGATCCTTGGCACTGCATATGGGCCCCCAACCAAAGCAGTAGTGGTCCCTGGGCACAGAACCAGGAGTGAGTGGTGAGCACTGCCAGGTGTGCCACCACCCCCCCACTCCCAACACCTGCAAATGCTAATTCCTAAAACTAACCCATCTTTGCATTTTGATGTTTTGTTTTTTCTATTTAAAAACATCTCAGATACTTCTCAACATATATATGTTTTATATATATATGCACACACATATTTATTTTTTTCTTGATCAGATTTGACATGAAACATTGTGGAAACACAAACACTTACATAAAATGCAGAGGAAAAATGTAAAACAAAAACAAAGAAGTATCACTCTCCAGGTACCTGCTCTTGTTAAAAAAGGTAGTAATGTTGGGGTCGGAGGTTATGGCTCAGTTGTAGAGCACTTTACTTGCTTAGTATATGTGATACTGTGGGTTTGATTCCAGGCATCGCCAAAAAAAAAAAGATAATTATGCTATATATGTTAGAAACATTTACATTAGAAATGTATAATAAGTGTACACTGCAAAATTCATCTAGGTGCAGAAAGATACAAAATGAAAAAGCACTGGGGAAATGGTCCAAAGAGCTGCGAACATGCAGGAGTTATTTATTTATTTACTTATTTATTTTTGCTTTTTGGGTCACACCCAGCGATGCTTAGGGGTTACTCCTGGTTCTGCACTCAGGAATTACTCCTGGCGGTGCCATATGGGATGCTGGGAATCGAACCTGGGTTGGCCGCATGCAAGGCAAACGCCCTACCCACTGTGCTATCACTCCAGCCCCACATGCAGGAGTTTAAATCCTGGTACTCTATGGTCCCATAAGCACTGCAGGGTGAGGTACCCAGTCAGAAAACAATAATAAACTCCACAAGACTCAGATAATATGCCAAAGCTACCTCACCTTCTGTTAAGTCTCAGATAATATGCCAAAGCTACCTCAACTTCTGTTATGTTTCTTTCTGTTTCTGATATGTATCATTCCTACATTTTTGTTCAGTTAATAAAACTTGTTAAAAAACTTTATGTGTTACTTATTTTTACTGGAGCTTGGAAGATACTATCTTCATTTTCAGATGAAACTATTGAGACATATTTGAACTCAAGTCAGTTTGATTTTAGAGCTTAACTCATGCGTATACTGCCATTATTTGTAATTGGGTTAAGGTTACTTTTTCTTTTCTTTCACTCTTTCCCTAGAGATGCTGGGGGCTGTGCTGCAGCCAGAGATGTGAGGTTAGCTCAGGGTGCTGGGAATCATATCTGGGCCCTGTGCATGCCGTCTCCATAGTCCCTGACCCTACTTTTTATTTTCTGTGAACAGTGAAGTATTTTTACATTTATAAAATTTCGAAACTAATAATTGAGCGCACATACCCCGAGAGGTGTGTGCATTTTTTTTCTTATTGCACCCCATTCTTAAAAATTTATTTTACATTGCTAAACATTGTCATGCCTCTTTGGATGAAAAGTTTCAGGAAACAATGCTTTTCTTATACTGCATGTATGGGTTGTACTTTGGTATTTTGATAGCATATACTTTCAGTTTTTAGAAATGAAGTTTGTGATCCATTTGTGGGATTTGACCAACCAAATGAGAAACTCAGTGAATGATTATTACATCACTGGATCCACTATTATATATAAGTACTATTGTTAGGAAAGTAGCGACTTAATTTACTCCATAAGTAGGCCATAAATTGCCTTCTGCTTAGGAGATTTTTGCCAAATATGTTGCTTATTTCAGGTGAAATAACATTTCTTTTTCTTTTGGGTAAATGTAAAGTCTAGGCCTGATGTAAATTAGCCAAAGTTGTTTACTTTTGTTTTATTTCAAATTTAACTATTTCAACACTTTTTTTTTTCTTCGCGTCACACCCTGCGATGCTCAGGGGTTACTCCTGGCTTTGCACTCAGGAATCACTCCTGGCAGTGCTCTGGGGATCATATGGGATGCTGGGAATCGAACCTGGGTTGTTTGTGTGCAAGGCAAACGCCCTACCTGCTGTGCTATTGCTCCAGCTCCATTGTTTCACATTTCTTATTATTTCTCCCCATACTCTTATGTCACTGACAAATGCTAGTTCTATTTATTTGTGTAATACTATTGTTATTAGTCACACATAGGGCTTGTCTCCCAGATGGAATCTTACCCCCTTAGTTAACTTTTCACTTGCTTAGAGTTTTAGGTGTGCCCAGATAGACTAGAAGACAGTGTAAAACAGACCTCTAATTATAGTGCCTTATGTGAGTCTCACCTTGAGTGACATTTTCAGAAGAAGTTCATTTGTGAAAATAAGATACAATTATGATAGACTCTCCATCATATTAATCTTTGTATTAAAATATGACCCCTTGTATGGCTTACTATACTTTTACATTTGTATGCAGATTAAAGCATTGTTAAATCTAGTTTCTCCATCATGCATGAGCTGAGTAGTTGAAAAATTCTCAGTCAACTATTGGTTGTTTGAATGCCAGTCATTGAATTGTCCTGCAATAGATGTTTAAAGGTGAAGTTGGCACAATCTTTTGGATGGCAAGGCTTAAGTTATTTTTAGTTGTCTCACAAGTATTACTTACTGCAGGTCATGTTAAACACTGACACAATTTTGAGGTGACATGTATGTTGTGTCCTTTGGAGTTCACAATATAGTATGAACAACAGTAACAAAATCCTCCCCCTTGAGTTCTTGATTTGGGGTTTAATTATAACCTAGAGTGACAGGAAAAGTACATTCTACTTTGGAACATGTAAGAGGACTTTTGTGTTGTACAATGACTGTCTGGAAAAGAGGCTTTTTTCAGTGTGAATTCTAATGATGAGTCTAAACTAAGATAGAAAGGAAGAATGTTTTTTTTAAATTATGGGTTAACGCTGTTCTTTATGGTCTTGATGTACAGTCACTGTACCTTGCCACCGCCAAAGTTTATAAGACCCTCTGCCATTGTCCTCATGTTATTTATGGTTTAAAAGAATAATACAGTTTCATAAAACTGTTACTATAGTTTTATAGAATGAACAAAATCATTTAAAAATATTTCAGAATTGGTATGAGGCCATATTTAAATCTCTAGGACTTTTAAAATAGCAATACAGTTTTTTGCTACAATAGAACTAAGAATCTCTCCCACTAGGACTGTGATGCTTGTTTAAAATATGATTTAGAGATTATATTAACAATGGAATCTCCCCATTCACAATTAGAAACATAATCCTCAGTTTCCTTAAAAAAACAAAACAAAACTATTTCTAATGTCTTAAGACAGCCATATCGAAATGATCTAGTCTTTTTATTGTTAAGTTTGTATAAGACTTTCTCTTCAATAGATAAGATCCTTGACCCTGGTTTTCTGTTGTTCAAAGGACAACAGTCAAATAATAGTTATTATTTTTTAATAGTTATTATTTATAAATAGTATTCTCTTAGAGTGATCTTAATTCAGTCTGACTAGTAACATAATTTTGTTGAATGATCACTTTATTCTGATGAAAGATCTCAGTTCATTTTTTTTAAATCCCTTTTAACAAAAGCATTGAATTTTGAGTTTGCAGTACTTATAGTCAATTTAAACAGTTTTGAAATAGGTTTCCTGATAATTTGTGACTTGAATTAGAACATGTATTATGAATTAGAACACGTACTAAGCATTTCATTATTAATGCCAGAAAAATATGGATGACAGTTTGGTGCTTTCTTTTGATATGAATGCTAAATACAACACTCATTTAGCCTTCAGAAAGTTATCTTACTCATGTCTCTTCTGATGTTTTCGTATGTTCCTGCTTTGTCTTCACCTTACCCCACTGTACTAAAGTAGTTCTTTTGCAAAACACTGTTTTCTCATTCGTGCCCACCAGTGGGTAAGAGAATGAGTCAGAAATCTTCAGTCTTGGAATGTGAACCTTTTGTACTCCTCTTCATTTGGCATGGCCCTTAATTATACTTTTAAGAGAATGCTGTGCTTTGAGGTTTAAGAACAGTTTAGATAATGGAAGAAATTTCTTGGAGGGTAGGGTACTTGCCTTGCGTAGGGTTGACCCAGGTTCAATCCTGCAGTCCCCAGAGTACTCCCAGTCCCCAGAGTACCCACTCCTTTATATTAAGTTAGAAATCTCACCTGAGCACTGTGTTCCTGACCACAAAACATCCCAGTCCACCCACTGAGGGAAAAAGTCTGGATAGAAGTTTTAGGTACAGTAAT